GTGCATCTGACCGTCTGCTTGTTTGGAGCCGAGCAACAAATCCACTTCCCCATCCCCAGATTTACTTTGGTTGCTAATAATCTTACGTGTTTGTGTTGTCCCCAGTATCCTTTGTTAGTTACAACTTGTTTTGCAAGTTTGCTGTTCCAGTTTTGTCCCGGGTTATTTATGCTACTTGTTCCTTGATAACCTGTTTTGCTTTTTTACTTCCTTTAAGTTACCTCATGATGTCACAGCATTAAAGGCTTCTTCATGCTTTACTTTTATCTTCCCAGTTTCTTGTGTCCCTTATGATTTCAGTCATTTAGATATGAAATAGAAGACAGGAAAACTTCTTCCCTGCCTCTTTCTCTCTCCTGTCTTCCCACCCTCCATTCAGTTGCCCAGAGATATAATTGAAGACAGGCACAGTGTGCTGCCTCATCTTCAGCTGTGCCATAAGTACTGCAGCCACATTCCATTCCAGATCAGCTTGTCGTCTTACCAGGGACACTAGGTTGCTCCATATAACTCCAGGGAGGCCTAGCAAGGATCTTGCCTCGATCCTTTAAGTGATAGCAACAAGTAGTTAAGAACCCAAGAAGACAACGTAGACAGAAAGAATTTGGTAATCTGGTGTTAGCTGCCCCTTAATCAAAATCCAGTTTTTATCCTCAGTGATAAATGGCATCTGAGGAGTTTGACTGCTATAATTTCTGTCTGTTCAATAGACCTTCCTCAAAACCCTGACTCAAATGTCCTTGTACCTATTATATACCTGTTGTATTCCTAGTATGCCATTGCTATCCTCACTTGGGATCATAGAGAGGTGTTGTAAAGATACAACTCCTAACTCAAAATCTAATTTCCCATTTGTTAATACATCTCTATTCTGCCTCTCAGCTTATGAAAGTATTTTCTAGCTTGGCTCTTCTGCATAGTCCTTTGCAATCTAGTAAAGTTAGGCTTTTCAAAGTTGTTCTTAACAAGTTATTTTACAAGCTTTAAAAATAACAGTTTTATTTATTTTTTTTCTGGTGAAACTGGTGTTTCACATCATATATAATCAGAAACTATATATACAAATCAAGAACAGTGGCTGTCAGTTCCTCTTTCCCCAACTTCAGCATCTATACCGTGAGAAATAATCATGTCCTCCCCCAATTCAAAAACCACTCTATGTCTCATACATAAACTTGGTGCTGCCTTTATGAACACTTGTCAAGTAATCTTTGAAGATAAATTGCCAGAATGAATTTGGCAGTTCCAGTCCAGGAAAACCCCAATGCGCATGTCTTTCTTCAGCCATTGCTATTAGAGGACTATAAATGTTCTCTATGGTCCGACATCCCATTTACTTTTTACTGAGTCACACTGACCTTTTGATCTGTGGCTGAATCATGGACTAGCAATTTTTTTAAGACAAGTAAAACAGGATACCACATCCTGCTTTTATGAGTAACTTTATTTTAGCCCACTCACAACTTCACTTACAAGTCCAGTTGGAAGCACATGCTGGATTTTGAGCCAGGAGCATATATGAAATATAGGATGTTTGGTGTTCCATTGCCTAAACCACAGGTGTCAAACTCATGGTGTCACATTGCTGTCACGTAACGTATCGTGGCGTTTTTCCCCTTCGCAGAGCTGGAGTGGGTGTGGCCTGCTCATGACACATCTGGCCTGCAGGCTGCCGGTTTGACATCTAAACAAAATCACTAAAGTAAAACAAGCTGATACCAAGACTAAAATATAGTGACATGCAGCCTGTAATTATTCATCACACTAAGCCATAATTTCTAACTTAGTGTCATTTTAACCCAACAAGTGTGATTTGACAAATCATAGTTAAAATAAGCCATGGTTTAATGTGAGTGTGGACCTAGCCACAGTGTTACTCAGGGCCATCAATCTGATGACAAAAGAAAAGGGATAGTCAAAGTGTGTTTACAAAGTCACAGTATCCTACCAACTTTAATCTGTTGGAAGAAGGAACATCAGCAAAGTCAATAAGCAATCAAAGATCCTTCAGATTTTCACACAACAGAATTCAGAGATAATTATGGCTGAAAGGACAGCTACTTTACAGCATAGTTTGTGCGTTATAGTAAGCCAGAAGTGTAAAGCCTGAAGCACTTATCCAGAGCTTTTGAATATTGTTACTAAATTGTTAAAACTTTCATATGATCAGAGGGAAAACTTGACTATATGGGGAGTAGCCATATTTATTTATTTAAAATTGAATGGAATCAAAATTAGATTTTATTCTGACTACATCTACTGTTTTTGGGAGTATGGTCCCCTCAAAAGCAAGAGCGGCCGTAAACTCAGGAAAACTTTGGCATATGTATTGACCTATAATGGGTAAGTTTATATCATGCTCCCCACACACAGACAAAATGCCTGATAATTTAGCTTTACATGTGAATCACTCAGACAGTTAAGCAAGAGATGCAAATACGATACATTTTAAATGGAAAACTAAACTCCTATTTTGTATAGCTCTATTGCTCTTCTTTACAGATGCAGGAATAAAAACGTACTCTTGAAAGTCTCTTAAAATTGTTTGTACATTGTGCATAGCAAAGATGGCGGTGATGATCTAAACTTGTTTAGATCTGCCACTATATTCTCATTATATAAAACTTAAAGCATTTATTAAGCTGGCTCACATTTCTTCTTGTGTCCTGTCAGATGCACTCCCTGAAGTAAAAGGCATCAGGAAGCAAATAGTGCGGCAAAGAAAATGTACAAGGAACATATTCTGAAGCACAGAAACCAATTGTGATGAGCTCAAATTGTGTAGTGTAGTTTGCTTCTTTAGCAATTTAGTTAAGATTTACATTGTCTTTCTTTTTGGAGCTCATGGTAGAGTATATAACTTTCCCTCCTATTTTTCTGCAAAACCCCCACCCTATGAGAGAGGTTGGGATGAAAGAGAACTAGCTCCAAATCACCCAGTGTTATCCACAACTGGAGAAGGACTTAAACCTGGATTATCCCAGTGCTACTCCCAACACTTGAACCACTGCACTACAGTGACTCTAAATACCCAGCCATCTAAAGTTTCCCCCAACTATTATTAGTGAAATAGAGTTCTGGAGCATACAGCATATTAATTCATATAGTTTGGTTGACTTTGTCTTAGCATGTTGCTCGAGTCCAGGCTATTGTGTTTATTCAGTTCATGCCTTAACAATGCCTAAAACAAGTTCCCCCACCACATTAATTCACTAAACAGTTTCTGTATGTTGTGTGAAATCAACTATAAACACATATCTCTAGGCCAGTGTGTGAACCCACTCCATTTTATGTTATTCAACAAGTTGTGACTAAATTAAGTCTAGCTTAGAGAAATTGGTGAATTCAGTCAGTGTCTCCTCTCTCCGGCAAATACTCCTTAGGAAAGCACCAAAATAGAACCTCAACAAATATGTTTACAAGTCTGACGCATAGCAAAAAAACACACTTCTCTTAGATCCTTCACGAAACAACGCTAATGGTAACGTAAGAACCACTAACAAATCTTCTGGGAAAGGTGCTTTGCTTAGCCAGGGAGTAGGAAAGAACCCGAGAGTCAGAATAGCCTCAGTTGCTAGCTTCTCGCTCGAGCTCCTGGACTAGGGATGAAGTAAAACCAGCTAATATCCTCACTGGGCTGTTTTAGGCCTGGCTTAGCATTTTATTTCTAAAGGAAACTCGATCACGCCGATTATCTGTGTTTGTAGGAGTCCTATATGCTCTCAAGAAACGACTTCTGAAAGGGAGGGGAGCTTGGCGTGCTCTCTCCCCGCCAGCACAAACTCCGTGATATTTACGGAGCCATAGTTGGCGCTGACCACACGAAGATTATCGGCAAGAAGACAGTATTACGGGAAATCTAACAAAAGCCGACAATCCACAACCACGACCCCTTCGACACTGTTATTCCCCCGCAGCACAAACGTGTGAACCAAGCATTTGTGTTGCCCCCACGGGTTAAAGCGCGCTCCACCCAGCCCGCTCACTGAAAGTTCGTGACTTTGCGGTGTCTTGGGACATTCCCAGCCCTCAAAACATCGCCCCCTTCCTTCTTTGGCTGGAAATTGACATAGTCCAGGGGCCTTTGCCTGGCAACGTGGGCGGGGGTTCCCGGAATGGAGCCCGAGCAGCAGAAACGCCACGAGGCAGAAACTGCCCAAATATGGGCATCTTCCCCTGCGTCAGCACGACCCCCCCCTCCCGCTCGGCCCCGGAGGCTCCACCCACTGGAGCTGAAGTCAGAACTTGCGAGATCAAGGAAGTGAAGCTTAGGCGTGTGGGAGGCCAAGCCCTGGGGCCCTCGGGCGCGCCCCCTCCCTTTCCCGTCCCTGACTCCAACAGCACCGGGGCTTTTAAGCATCAAAGCTGAGATGTTGACATCAAAAGGGAAAGAAATGGGAGGGGAACGGAAACAGACTCCGAAAACCTCGGGAGAATGACGCGCGGCAGAGCTCCGATCTGGGGGATCACAGAGAAGACACCGGGCGGGGAAGATGAGGAAAGGAAAGAGAGCAAGAGGAAACGCGGTGAATTCCATCGAGCACCTGACGGCCGGTCTAATTAGGTTTCCACTAACAGCCCCATTAGGAAGAACAAACATCCACCGGAAGGGTTAACGACCAGGTACTGCCATCCGGGCGTTCCAGAAATTAAATCTTCGCCCATCTATGTTTTTCCGAGATTAAGTAGGTCGTGTCCATGCCTGTACAGAAATCCACAAAATACTTTTAAAAAAAAACGAGTTGGTAAGTTGTGGCACATGAAAAGAGGCACACAGATAAAGTAATTGGAACATGTTTACTTAAATAATTAATAAAAAGTCAAAACACAAATACAATCATAGAGGGTGAACTTGAGGACTCAAAAGTATTAAAGGCGCTAGTAAACAAACCCGCTTCCCCTTCTTGGCCCTTTTGTCCACGCAATGGCCTCTTGGGGGAAGAGAGAGGCTGAGATTCCATCACTTCCCTGACAAACTGTCCTGGTCCCTTTTCTTTCAGTTATAAATTAAATTAAGTCCATTTCTTTTTCTACTGGCATGGACGAGACCAAAAGGCCAGTTTTCTGGACTCCGTCTCGAGTACCTCCAGTTCCACTGCACCATCCAGCGATGCAGCCGAGAGCACGAGAGCGAGAGAAACGCGTTTCTTTTAAATACACACACATACGAAATCACGCTCACAGACAGCTATAAAAAAAACCTTGTACACACTCAGCACAGATCGAAGTTCTGGATCCACCAGACTGAGTCACAGACGTAACTAGGAAACACGGACTTGGGAACAGAGACGCCTAACGTCAGTCCGGCTCCATGTAAACTTTTGCGTGACAAGTCCGCTTCCCTTTCTCACGGCAGAAAAAGTCTTTGAGAAGACGGCGATTGGTTTGGTCCCTCACCGCCTCAGAAAGACTGCTGCATCTTGGTTGTCAAGAGGAGCTGGCAGCCGTTGTTCACGTGGTTCATTACTTTCTGCTTCAGCTGCGCGACCTGGTCTCGGAGCGCGCTGGCAGTGTTAGACAGTCCCGCGTTCTCGTTCTTTAAGCTCTTCACCTTGTCCTCCAGCCGAGCGATGCGCTCCAGCTTCCTCTTCCTGCATTTGGTGGCGGCCAGGCGGTTGCGCAGCCGTTTCCTCTCCACCTTGATGCGCTCCTGGTCTTCCATGTTAATGGGAGACACGGGCGGGCTTTGCACATCCGGCACTGTCTGGGGCTCCTCTTTGAAACCCCGCGTGGGGTGGGGCAAAGCTAGGCCGTGAGGCTGCGGCATGTAGCTCAGGTTGGCACTGGGGAAGCTGGAGGTGGTACTCAGGGCGCCGGGAGGGTTATAGCTGGTCAAGTTGGTGTAGACAGGAGGCGGCTCCTGGGGAAGGGAGGCACCGTAGCCGCTGCTGGCCGACGAAGCTGCTACCGCGGCCCCGATCGAGACATTGGGGGGTGGCATGTGGTTCATCTTATGGAGATCGTCCAGCGCCTTGACGAAACCGTCAGCGAAGCCTTCCTGCTCTTCGGTGGCTCCCCGCGGATAGTAGTATTGTCCCGTCGGCGTGGGAGTGGTGGTGATCACGCCGTTGCTGTTCTGAACGATAAGGCGCTCCAACTCCGGGGCAGCCAGCTTAAGCGAAGAGCTCGCCGTTTCAGCCGACTGCTGCTGAAGCGAGCCCGGAAAGTAGGCAGCGGGGCCGTCTTCTTGGCCGCGGAGGTGATGGGGAAGCTGGGACTTCAGGCCGCGGAACGGCTCGGCCGACAGGTTCAAAGCCATGCCCGACTTCAGCGCCTTGTAGTCCTGGCTGTAGCCGGAGAAAAAGGAGTCAGGGTAGAAAAGCTGCTCCATCTTCGTGCACATCAGCCGCGCGCTGGGAGGAGGAGGGGGTGGATACCCGGGCTAGGACCGTCCGAGATGGCTCGGGGCTCACAGGAAAGGCCTTCTCTATCTGCCTGCCTGGGGCGTGGATCGAGTTCTTCTCCCAACGCGAGGAGAGCGCGCTTCCGCCTCCCTCCCAAGCTTCACTTCCAGATTTCAGAGCGAGACAGACACAGAAGGGGGGGAAGAAAAGCTGGTCTTTCAGTCGGCTTCTCCAACCTCCCGCCCTGACTAAGCTCCGCTAGCGAGGATGGTTCACGCTTGTCCCCCACAGAAGGCAAAGCCCACAGGACGAGCGTGCCGGCTTCAAGCCCTCCCCGAGAAGCAAAAGGAGCAGGTACCGTACCGGCCAAGGGAGAGAGCCTCCAAAGCGCGCTGACGCCAACTGTGAATTATCTGGGCTGCAGCGTGCGTTTCCCGGCGCCTTTTATTCTGGCCTTACCCGCGGTGCTGGCGGAAGGGCGCCCTCATTGGCTGGAGAGCGGGAGAGCCTCCGCCCACCGGAGCCGCACGCGAAAGGGGAACTGAGCTCATTGCTCGGCAGCTCGTGCTCCAGTAAACAGCCCGCGGGGCGGCGGCGGGGGTTGGAGGACAGCGCGTCAGAGTAACGGGATGGGCGGGAGAGCGAGGAAACCGGGAGCGAAAGCAGAAAAAAAAGGGTGCAGCCGCGGTGGCCGTGTGAGCAAAGGCACGCACGAAGCAGAGGCGCGGGGAGAGGTGGCGCGTGACGTCCTCTGCGCTGAGGAATGAGCCTCTCTCTGAATTTAAGCGCTGCTTATTTCTAAGCAAGCGCGGGGCATTGTAACCGAGAGGTAATAGGGGCGGAGGGTGGCTTTCTTTTCTTGTTTGAATACAGTTCCCCAGAGAGCGTCGTGGTCGTGCATTGGCGGTGTGTGTGATCTTTGGCATATCATTCCTTCAGCCTAGCCAACCTCATGGAGCTATGTATAAAGAGAAAAGTAAAACAACGCTCATAAGGCAGGCAGGCAGGCAGGCTTTCTTGAAGAAAGGTGACAGATCGGAACTGGGTGTTTTGTTTTGTTTTTAAAATGTATGCAAAGGCAGATCAATTTCATTCCCTAAGCGCCAGAAACCCAATCTGATTTTTCAGGATTGCAAGAGTTTTCAAGGTTAGTAAATATCAGGGAAGCATTTCTTTGTGAGAACTGCCTCTGTGAAGATAACATGGTTTATCAACGCTAGAAAAGCCTTCTGAGTAAATATTTTGTCGTTAAAATACAGACTTAAATGACAGTTATACCCAACCTCTGATGCTAAATGTCCTCTTCTCTATGAAAATTTAATGACACAGTGGTGGATTAAGGCTCACTAGTGCCCTAAGCACTGACAAATCCTGGTGCCCCCCTCCGTTGTACAAACTGTACAAATGAAGCCATATTCTCAACTCTGCGGTGTCCCCTTTGGGCCTGGTGCCCTAAGCACTTGCTTAGTCTGCTTAATGGTTAATACCCCACTGACTGGACACAAACAGTTCAGCCCAGCATACTGAGAAATAAATGTATACTCTGAGATGCATTCAAACAGGGATGTACAAATGCCATAAAAATATGTAGAAATAATCCTATGTCAAATACACACATTGAAATCAGAAACCACAGACAAATACCACTTGAAGGCATAGCTCAGACATAGGTTACACCCTGCCATATTCAAAATAAACACAGATGAAGAACTTAGATCTGCATACCACATTCAGATTCCAGAGAAGGAAAAAAAGAAAACATGCCAAAGATAATGTACACACAAAAGCTTTTTTTTACACGTATCTAAAGTGGTCATTAAGATGAAAATGGCTAGGAGTGGATATTAGTACAGTTATCTTAACTACTTGCAATAGCAGGGAATAAGAACGGAAGGGTTAAGTTAAAACTTCCACCCATACATTCAAGAATTTTGAGGGAGAGGACACATACAAGATTCTTCAAAATACAGACCTGTATCAGTTCTGATCCAACCTAGTCACTTACAGCTAGATATCCAAAATAGAAAGCCAGACTCAATCCTGATATCTAAATACTCAGAGGGGAATCTATTTCTTCTAATCACAACTATGTATAGGTAGTCCACAGTTTATTTAGTGACCATTCAAAGTTATAAGCACAGAAAAAAGTGACTTACGACCATTTTTCATACAACTGTTGCAGCATCCCCATGGTCATGTGATCAAAATTTATACACTTGGCAACTGACTTATATTTAGGACAGTTGCTGTGTCCCAGGGTCATGTGACCACCTTTTGCAACTTTCTCATAAACAAAGTCAATGGGAAAGCGAGATTCACTTAACAACCATGTTAGTAACTTAACAGCTGTGATGACTCACTGAACAGCTGTGGCAAGAAAGATCGTAAAATGGGGCAAAATTCACTTAGCAGCTGTCTCACTATGCAACAGAAATTTTGGGCTCAATTATGGTCATAAATCAAGGACTATCCATATTACATATATTCTTTCTCGTAGCCTTTAACATGTTTACTTTTTATATATAGACACGTGTCTATGTGTGTATGCATATACATACAGAGATAACCACAAGTATTTTGGAGAAACACCATATTAAATATTTTTCCATTAATATAATAATATATTTGTCTCCAAAGCCATCATAGATTTAGTCTATCTGGTGTCTGAAAAGGGAAAAAATGAGCTAAGTAATTATAAATAACATTTGCCCTCAATAACTTTATTAACTATGAAACAGGTACGTTAACATTGAAAGATAGTCATGGAACGAGTATTCAGAGTTTAAGTTTAGATACATGTATGTGAATAAAACAGGTATATACGATATATCTAGATATATATGGCATTCATAATTTCACAGCATTTCCCCAGGTAATAACAGGCAATTTGAAACAAACTTTTCTTATGCTCTGGCTAAGTGACCGCACCCTAATGGAGACAAACATTTAAAAGGTCCCCAATTATGCTGGTTGGTAGAAAGCAACTACTTTGGTGTCTGACACAAAAACTGACCTTTGTAACAAAAAAGCTTTCTCATGCCCTACCTTTCTTCTTGTTGTTGTAAGAAAGAAACAGTCATAAAAAAAATTCCTGTATGGAGTATGATTAAAATATACTTGAACTGAGTAAATTGGACTCAACATCTTCAGATACAGAGAGGACAGAACATGTATCCATGTGGACAAGTGTCCTTGTCTACATGGATACATGGTCCAGTAGCAAGAAACAAATGAAAGCTACAGTACAGCACTATGTTTTTTTAAAAACAGCGCTATAAATAGAAAGACAATGACAGATTCAGACAAAATATTAAAGTGCAAAAACAACACATAAATAATAAAGTATCTATTGTTGAGGCTACCTGTGAAATCTGGATCATGTGAAAAGTAGAAGATGGAAAAACTGGTGCCTTTGAATTATGGTTGTGGAAAAAATTGTTGAGAACAACCGTGGACCACAAAGAAAAGTCATCCAAAACTAGCTGAAGATTATTCACTGGAAGCGCTAATAATGAACGTAATGCTTAAATATTTTGGACACATAAAGAAGGCAACAGACACTGGAGAAGACCCTGATGCTTGGAAAAATAAAGATAATCAAAAGAGACAATAAAAAATCCCCCAAACCAAAACAAAGAAGCCTAAATTAATGTCAGGCATACCAATTTCTTTTGGGCTAAAGAACTAATGTATTAACAAATGGGAGAGAGTGAGAAAGGGAAAGGATAGGAAGAGAAAAGATGGATCCACCTACCTGGACTCTGGTTACACCTATTTTTTGTATAGAGCTTTCAACAGATTACACCCATAAGAATGAAGCTCTATGCAGAAAAACGATACTGTGCCATGGCCTAAAAGCAATTTGCTTATGTTGAGATAACCCTATTCCTGTCCGCAGGAATTCTTTTTGAAGTGACAGTTGAAATATTTGCAGAACTATTGAAATACTAGAACATACTGTAAAATGTGTGAAACTAAATAGCATGGGGGCAGAACTGAAAGAAAGGGAAGCAACCTCCCAAATCTTATTGCAAAAATGCATAAATCATAAGTGATGAAAGGAGGTGTTCCAGATAGACAAACACTGTAGGCTCTATCAGGCTAGAACAAGACCCAGCCTTAGATTTTGTTCTCTTCTCTAGTACCATAGCAGGAAGTGCCAGCCTCTGGCGTTGCCATTTAATCGTTACCTTTGTTTGCCTGCTTAACCCAGGCATCAGGCAAGAGGGTGAAGGTTAAGGTGCGCCAGGGTGTGGCAGGGAACACTCTTCTATGGCAAGCATCGAAAAGGTACCCAACCTTGCACAATGGGAGAGGGAGGGAGGGAGAAAGAGAGAGAGAGAATATACAAAATAACTCTGAAGCAACTTAGCAATAAAAGTTGATATATCCAAATGAACTTTGTAGAGCAGTACACATTTCTTTCTTTTGCAAAGAAATGGTGTTATATACTGATTAGCCTTTCAGTATTTGTCATAATTTAAGTCATTTATCTAGTTCTGTAGCATATAAAAATGTGATTGCCCCTATAACATTTCATGTAGAATACATGATGAAGTTTTGAAGCAACACAAAAGTGTGCTTCCCAGAATTACCTTTGGTGAGATGGGCGACTATATAAATTTGATCAATAAATAAATACAAATGTTAAAGTTAATGAAGCTATTTTTTTAACCATCATTTGAAATGTATAATAAAAAGCAAGCAGGAATATCAATTTGTGGATTCTGATTAAACATTATACATATTTACAAAAATCATTTTATGTCTATTCATTTATTCGTTTTATTCATTCATTCATTCAATTTCTATAGCTGCCCATCCCAGTCAATGAAACAGGGTTTACAATTTAAAAAAATACAGAGATAGTTCTCAACTTACGACAACAATTGAATACAAAATGTTTGATGCTAAGCAAGAGGTAAGTGAATTTTGCTCCATTTTTGACCTTTCTTGCCAATGTTGTTAAGTGAATCATTGCAGTTGTCAAATTAGTAACATGGTTGTTAAGTAAATCTGCCTTCCCCACTGACTTTGCTTGTCAGAAGGTCGCCAAAGGGGATTACATGACCTAGGAATTGCAACTATTGTAAATATGAGTCAGTTGTCAAGCATCTGAATTTTGTTCATATGACCATAGGGATGCTGCAACAGTCATAAGTTTGAAAAATGGTTATCACTCTCTTTTTTTCAGTGCTGTTGTAACTTCAAGCCATCACTAAATGAAGTGTTGTAGATCAAGGACTATCTGTATTACACTAAAAACACTAGAAACATTTTAAAACAATAAAAATACATTGTTTCAGTTGCTATTTGTCATTTAACACACAAAACAAAAAAAAATAACACAATTTTAGAACAGTGAAGGAAGAAAAATCTTGGATTATGCCATGTCTATTTTAATTTGGGATATGGA